TATATATATTCACGCGTACTTTCGTACCCTGCGTGAATAGGAGTGATCTATAGTTGTATTTCACCACGTGCTCTGCACGGGATTCGTTTCGCTTTCATCGTTAGATATTCCCGTGAATCGAACAAATTCAAAAGAATAGCTCTATCCCCGTGTATTTCGATGAAGAAGCTAAGTAGGCGACGTGAATAGCAAGTATATTTACTATACAACCAAACGATCACTATACCTCAGGCTAACTACGAGCCCATTTCCAACAAACACCCAGGCAGAGCTCATCCAGAACAAAGTAGTCAGAATGGCTAAGTCGACAGATGCGCTTGTCTTGTGGCTTCCAGGAGCCAGTGGGACCACCTCCAAAGGTGCATTGCAACTACACGCGTACATGTCCACACACTACAACGTACGCGTGACGAGACTAGATGATCACCACAATGGACGTGTGCCGTGGAAGAAGGGGAATGTGGGGTGTATGGAGAATATTAGGCTCATAACTGACTGCGTAGGTAGTCTTAAAGGCGTAGATAGCGACAATTTGCCGGTGTACTTGTGTGGTGCTAGCTTTGGCGGGCGAGTGGCTCTGGAGGTCATCGCACATGCCTATTCTCACACCGGTAAGGAGAAACATCTGACAGATTTCAAACAGAAGAAAGATCTGACGAGTGATGGCTGGGATGTAGACATGCATGAACATACTAAGAACTTGGCGAATGCAGGGATACTGTGTGGATACCCTCTCTACCCTCCGGGAGCTGCCCTTCCTGAAGTTAATTCCAAACGTGACAGAATACGCCACCTGCAAGCGGTGTCCTGCGCTGCAACGCGTCTGTTGTTTGTCACAGGTGATGCAGATGAGTTCGTTACACGCGCATACTTAGATAGTAACAACACGGGGCCTGAAGGTCTCGAGAAAGTTGTAAGAAAGGTGTCCAAGGCGCAAAGTACATTCCATGTGGTACCCAAAGGGAAGCATTCTGTACCGGATTGTGGCGGTGGTATAGCAGTACAAGAGAGTGTGGTGGAGAGTGTGGCGCTAGTCATTGCGCGGTTTATTGGTGCACACGTTCGTAGTGACAAGGAGATTGTAAACGATACTGTGCATGCTAAAACACAAACAGGGGTGGATGTAAATGTTGATGTTGCACGGTATATAGGAGATAAGAAGGTGGCTTCAGACAATCAAACTGCCACTTCAGGGCCCAATGAAGAGCCAAAAGACAAGTCGGATACACCAGCACGTAAGCAAACGGGGAAGAAGCAGATCACTGGCAAGCGTAAAGGCAATCAACCCAACTCTAGCAAGCAAGCAGAGGTGGATAGAGTCGAGACTTCGATTAGGACGGCGGAGAATGGCGAGGGAGATCGAAATCATACTGAGACTAGTAGGGCCGTCAAGCGTAAACCAGCAGCAGCAGAAATGGTAACCCGCAGCGGCAGACCCGTCAGACAGTGCAGAAGGTAACCGCTACATCGCACAGCGAGAGATGAGTGTCCGCATTGTGCGTCAGGCAGACGAGGCGTTAGATAGTGCAGGTGATCATCTTACTATATGGTTGTGAAGGGAACTAGTGTGGGGTGTAGGTGACCATCTTACTACATGGTTGTGGGGGGAACTCGTGTGGGGTGTAGGTGACTATCTTACTACATGGTTGTGGGAGGAACTAGTGTGGGGAGTAGGTGACCATCTTACTACATGGTTGTGGGAGGAACTAGTGTGGGGTGTAGGTGACCATCTTACTACATGGTTGTGGGGGGAACTAGTGTGGGGTGTAGGCCGGGCCATCACACAGAGGACCGTCCTTAAGAATCATGAAGTGTGAAAACACAGAAAATGTAGTCTATGGTGCTGAACTCACCTCGCAATCACCGCAGATGACTATCAATTGTGATCCAGGAGCGTCGTAGGCGGGACAAGCGACTCACAGATGTGACCTCTGGACTACTGGGATCACAGGAAGCCATCCAGCGCAACGGAAAGATGCAGCCAGAGGGTACAATCAATGGTATAGCGCTCTACTCTTGACCACGTACAGAAGGCTGACTGTCCGGGGTGAGAAATCAGGTATAAACCCGACCAGTAAACAATCAACCCTGCAGACGTCTCGTTGGTTGGAATTGTGCTAACCGTGTATGTGTTATGCAGATGCTTGGTGCGGGTTCTTGAGACCGTGCTCGGAATGCAACAACTCCACAACTGATCGTGCCATGCCTAAAATGAACTCTGACGATACCTGGTGTACTAGAATGTAGGATGGTCTTGCAGAATCTACATGGCGAACGCAGTCTCGTGCTAATGTACATGGTTCGTGCAGACTTACACACGTACTGTATGTGTTTAGTATAACTGTGCATGGTCCACTTATTGTCCCTTTGTCTCGTATACACAATGTGGTGGTCAAGCGATAGCTGCACTCCATCCTTTAGTAAGCAAAGGGTAACATGATTTACTGATCAGTTATGTGGATTCAGAGAGGGTGGTGTACATTAAAATCATTCAGTCTCTCGTTTTAGAGAAGAATCTACAACAAATACTGACAGAACAAGCTCTCTGTATCAGACACGGATGACACCAGTATACTCTTTCACTTGAAGAGTGGCAGAAGAGACCAGTACAGAAAGCATCATTCATTCTCCCCATTTATGAAAGACCAACTTATCATATAACAAGCTCGCTGTAGTTTTAGTTGTGTTCGGAAGACACTGCAGTATAGCCGGTCACTTGAAGATTGTCCGACGAGGCTGGTACAGATAGCATAATCCATTCTCCCCATTTATGAAAGACAGTACAACTTATTACAAAATAAAGCCCTCCGTAGATATAATTATGTACAGAAGGCACTATAATATTGACGGTGTACTGAAAACTGTCACAAAGCACAGAGCAAATTAACGTAGTGGCCCACTACAGGATACACCACACCTCCCGTACACCGCAGTCGAATCCAACACAAACACAGCCACAAATCTGGTACACGGTCGATCGATTAGCGAACTATTTTATAAGTATTAGACTTCCTGCCTTTCGGGGCGGTTTTGTTATACCTCCTATGACCGCCAGCCGCTATTACCTGGTACGTTACAAGTTGACCATCCCAGTAGATCTGGTCTTGGAAGACGGGCTTTAAGATCTCAACTCCATCCGTATCATACAGGTACAGAAGCTTGATGAAGTCGTTGCAGTCGTGCGCCAGCGTATCAAACGCCTCGTTCACATCCCCTTGCGTGATAATTTCTTGGATCTGTGCGTAGAATTTACGGTTTAAGGTTTAGGGTTTCATCGGTATCAAGAACAGATGTTAGCTCTAATTAGGTTTTGCACCAACTTTGAAAACGCCTCCGTTACTTCGAGTGTTCAGGGTTTAGGGTGTAGGGTTTAGGGATACAAAACCATGTATTGTGTAACATTATGGGATATAAATACACAACCACAAATTGATATTATATATGAAGCTCAATGTAGACACCGACCCACCCACCTGGTCTCTTTTGTCCCAGAGTTCTTTACCACCCGCTCCCTTATACAAGAAACACGTGGGCTGGTCTAAGGAGGGTATCACATCCGAGACTCGCACAGAGGTTACGGTAGGATCATTGCACCACAGGCCAAATGCGACGTTGATGAAGAGTGTCTCCCAGTCAGACTCGGGCAAGCGTTTCTTAATAATGGCGGCTACCCAGGCGACCTTGTTTGCAACTGCATACGTGTGACTCTCGGGCAATCCCTGTATGAGGACGGGGGCTGTTAGTTGCATTCCAGAGCAGACAAACACTCCCATCCCTTTGTAGGAGCCGGGGGCTGTTGAGGGATCCATGCACTGATAAGAGCTCGGGATATGGGAGCGTGACAAAAACAAGAAAGCTCCATTGGACAACAAGCAACAAACAGTCCGTCACGAGCGGAGTTCCCAATTCAGTACCGAACTTACCTGCACACCCAGAATGACGGAGACAAAGGAGGTGTGGTATATGGCTACCGCGATGTTTTGTGCTTTCCACCTGGACACCACATCTCCGATGCCGCCCACAGGGTTGGCTATGGTCGCGTACATCAATAACACGTGCGCCGAACTACTGCGGATCACCAGCTTGTTGATCTTTGCGAAATCGGTGTCTTCGGGCTGCGCATATGAACAGTTGGAGAGCGCCCGTTTCAGTCATACGCAGTGTTTAAGGACTAGATTGGGCCGTGTTCTGCCTCATATATATCTCATAATGAGAGTGTGAAATGTCTTCCTTGCGTGTTTAAGGACTAGATTGGGCCGTGCTCTGCCTCATATATATTTCATGAGAGTGTGAAATTTCTTCCTTGTGTGTTTATTAAGGACTAGATTGGGCCGTGTTCTGCCTCATATATATCTCATAATAAGAGTGTGAAATGTCTGCCTTATGTGTTTAAGGACTAGATTGGGCCGCATTCTGCCTCATATATATCTCATAAGAGTGTGAAATGTCTGCCTTGTG